GAACCCGGAGGAGGCCGACCCTGTGCGATCTAACGGGTTTGTGGGAGGTAATTGGCAGCAGGCGGTCTCTCAAGTAGGAGGTTGGGCCACTCCTGGAGTCTGGGGAAGACGAGGGCTCTGTGTCAGAGGCAGAGATGGGGCCAGGGCCATCTGCCAGTTATCAGCTGCCTTCGGAGTCGGACATCAGTGGGGCAGAAGAACAGCTGGAGCCTGTTACCACTGTGTACATGCACAGAACTGCCAGGTGAAGGGAACAGCTAAGGAACAAGTGTCGACCTGGGAGTAAAGGCAGAGGTGGATGGTGAATGGCCCCACAAAATAATTTTATTTTGTGCTCCACGTAATGACATCAGATATTTAAGTACCCCTCTCAAGAGTGAAAAAGAATGACCATTAGTGATGCTGTTCTATTCCAAAAGATATCTAATTTCAATAAGATGTAAACATCTGGAAGGTTTCATCTTTATTATCCATCTTCTAAAGCAAGCAAAGATGTTTTGGTGCATAGTGCGGAAAGGAAACTGTGCTTACAGTAACTGATTTTCAGGACATCCCCTTCCCCCCCTGTTATAAATGTTTCAGATTGATGCTATAAAACTGAAGTGGGGTTCAGAATGCTTGCTATAGCTTGATGGAGCCTTCCAGCTGAAGTAGTTTTATGAACAGTAAAGTATCACCTGCCTTCTTGGACTTTCTTTCTTCTTTTCACCCTTTTGTTTCGTTCTATTTTTGCGCCTTCACTCCCCAGATGTGTAGAGGTCTCTGGCTGGTAGCTCTGCAGAAAGGCAACACCTGTGTCAAAGGCATTTTTGAACTGTTTGAACTTTACTCTACAGAACAGCAGAAAACATACACTATTCATCATCTGAAAATTGTTTGGAGAAAAATAAAAGCCTAAACTCTCACCCCTGGTAAAAAGATAATTATTTTAAAAGTCAGTCTCTGTGAACCTTTAGCCAGGGCTAAGGTTAAACGATGGGGGTCTGAGTAGACATGCATAGGATTCTGTGTGAGAAACTATACAAAGCTATTAGTTGTGTTGCTAAATTTAGAGACATAATTTTAACTAAGACGATGTTAGCTAAAACCACCCCTCTCTTTTTCTGAAAGAGATGTTGTTTCATAATCTTCTTCTTCTTCTTCTTCTTCTTCTTCTTCTTCTTCTTCTTCTTCTTCTTCTTC